TGGGAGTAAAAGACAGAATACTGTAGTTGAAGAATAATTTTTAAAAAATTTAAAAAAGAAAGCTTTATAATGACTGAGATTAAATTATTTGCCAAGCAGGTTTTTTGATGTCAAATTCAGAATAAATGTGATTTAAAGAAAAAAATATTACAAACAAAATTTAGCAATATATAAAAAGATTGTATACCATGAAAAGATGAGACTTATCCTAGGAATGTAAGTTGTTTTAACATCTATAGTTTAATTAATGAAATGCACTGTAATAAGTAAATAAAGGATAAAACCATATGACCATTTCAATTGGTGCATGAAAAACATTTGAAAAAATCCAACACTCTCTCATGATTTAGAAAAACAAACAAACCCTATGTAGGATTAAAGGAATGTCCTCAACCTGAGAGAGAGCTTTATGAAAAACAGTTAAAAATCTATTTAATGGAATATGATTGAATAATAAATATTGTACCCCAAATGGATGAATCTCGAAGGCATTTTGCTAAGTAAAAAAAGTCAGCAACAAAAAAAAGTATTTTTTATCTCATTTATAGGAAATGGGCACACTAGGCAAATCTGTAGAAGCCAAGAAATGAGTGGTCGATTAGGTACACGGGTGGAATGGGGAGTGACTCCTGATGTGTATGGAGTCTATTTTTCAGAGGAATTAGATATTTGAAGATTAGATTTCAGTAATAGTTTTACACCCTATGATCTATTTTAATAAGTATACTTTTAACCGGTGTTTAATGAATTATATCTAAATAAATTGTATCTTAATAAATATATCCAAATATATTCTCACTCTTTGGCATATGCCATATGATGAGGACAGGGCAGACATGACAAATTTAAATTTATCAGCAGCACTCTGAAGACAGTCTTCAGTTTGGACAATGTCCGTTGCTTAAAGGAATTGTGCCCAAGCGGAAGAGTCATCAAGTTTAATAGATTATGTTTCTGGTATAAGAAGTTTTTTTTTTTAATATGTGGTAACTATAATAGTTTCTGATACCACTAAAGGGATATGATGAAGGACTTGGAATTTGGATTTCCTGTTTTCCCCTCAAACAGGTCTATTTCAGTTGCAGCTAAGGATGTCAGAGAAACAGGAAGGAGTACTACTTGTATCCAAGAATGAAGCAACCCAAGTAATCTGCTCACAGTACCAAATTTAACTACCGCTGATCAAGTTGATGCTATATTAAATGAGCTAATCAAAAATTTAACTTTTTTACTCTACTACTAAATTAATATCTAACCAAAAGGTATTAAGCATATAAAGTAAACTACTAAGCAATATGATAGTTGATCTTTAAGCAGCCTGCACCTTGAAAAAACTAGATATGATCCAGGAAACGGTAAAGCCTTTGGCTATTTAAAACTGTTTCAGTTGGATATAAATATAGATATGTAAAATATAAGCTCCATAGGGTCCAGGAGCTTCGTTACACAGGCCCCTGCATTCCTAGTGTAGAGCAGCGCCTGGCACAGAGTTGATGCTCTTTGCACTTGAATGTTTACATCCTTATCAAACATAAACTCTTGGATGGTTTTGTGACACTGTGTAGAGAAGGAGAAGTCCTGTAAAGAAAAACACCTCTTACTTGGACATGTAAACACAGTTGACAGGAGACTTATATGACACTTAGATAAGAGATTTTACTTTAGAAATTCCCTGTGATGGTACCATTGTGGCTTAAAGAAATAAAAATAGAATGATAAAATATAAAAATACAGCTGATATTAAGGCATTATTTTTGTCACTATTTGAAAGGACAAGAAATATCTATTAAGTATTAAAAGTGCAAAGATGCAGATAATAATGGAATTAGGTAACTACATGTCACTGTGTGGAGTAAACATTTAATCATCTACAAGTGACTCTGTGGGAATGTTACCTATGATAGCATACTGGAAATATTTTTATTTAGACAATTGTACGTGCTGAACAAATTAGGTTTTGTGTTTGAGCTGTGGCTTTACTGACGATTAGGGCTGTTTGTTCATGTTCAATGCTTTTTACTTAGTAATAGTGTTTTAAATGATCTCTTCAAATAAAAATAACCTGAGCTTGGAGAAGCAGCCTTTAGAGTTGTGTAAATATGGCAAAACAAGTGGCTCAAGGCACTGAGGAATTCTCCACACTGGATGAAAAACATTCAGATCGTGACTGAAGCCTCTTGGGTTGTCTATGGAAGCAAAATATGATTTATACACATATATGCTGAAACGCAGTACAGAATTATTTATGATAAAATGAATAGGACATGAATTGTATATGTGTTTTCATTATTGAATTCATTTTTATTAGCATATTCTTAATTCTTTGTTGTATCTTTAAAACAGACCATCTGCAAATTGTAGTGTGATTTTAACATAGACTATGTTATTTTAAAACTTCAAAGAGAGATATAGATAAAGCACAAAATATACCCAATCAACACATTTTAAAGGACCCACAATTTTTTTCCTTAGCATAAATAGATATTTCTACAACTATGTGTGCTTCCATCAAATTCAAGTACATCCTTTTGATGACAGCTGTCCCAAATGGGATTTTTAGATCTTACAGCAAACAAAAGTAATTGCTTTTTATATTTTTGGTAAGCCTTTCTGTTTAAACTCTTTTAGTTCATGTATGTGTCGACATTTACTGTTTTATTTTCAAATGTTCCTCAAGTTTCTCTCCTGGGTTTTTTATTATAATCTCTCTCCCTTAGCAATTCCATAACTTTAAGTAGCACCCTACGTAGAAAATTGCTAGGGCTATATATTCATCTTAGATTTCTCTGTTGATGGCTACTAGATTTCTTCATATGGAGGACACCTCAAATTGAATATATCCCAAATTTCCTCTAAAATATTTGTTAATGTCTTTCATATTTTTCTTTTAGTGTACAGTTTATGTGCATTGTCTGTTTCTTTCACCACAGTGTAATACTCCTGAAAGAAGTGCTTATTTCTGGTTCACTGTGTATTCTTCATACATTTCACAAGTTTGAGGGTAAACCATTGTATTTAGTGAGTAACTAAATTGATTCCATCCTTGATTATATATTATTTTTGAATAAAATTTAGTTTATGACAGTATATCGATATTGCAGTTAGTGGCTAATTTTAAAACATAATTATTTCCCCTATTTTCTTAAATTGTCAGTTTTGCTAAATTGAAAATGCTGTCTTTGATAGAGTCCTCTGTAAATTCCAAATGATATGATTTAATTCTGCAAATACAGCTTAATATTTTTGCAATCAAATAAAATTCTATTCCCTTGTTCTTTGATGACTGCTGAGATGAGAACCTGAAGTATTTTCTGTTTATACAAGAAGAATATATTTTGATCAGCAGCAGTGTGTCCCTTTGAACAAACTGCCCGGAATTGCTTTACTTTGTTTTAATATCAACAAACATAAGGGTACAGTACTAAACGTTGATTTAAGTTGAGTTCCCAAAGTACAAAGCTCTATAAATTCCTACTCATCAAGAAAATGATTCATTCCCAAATCAGGAATAGGATGGAAATGAAAGTAGAGTTCAAATGGTATTAGATGTGAGGTCGAGAAGGATTTTAGGATGAGGAAATGAAGGAGTTCAAGTCCAGTGGTGTCATATGAAAGGGGGAAAATGAGAAGAGGCAGGCTGGCAGCAGTGAGCATCAAGATTCTTCACCTGGTGGTCTCACTGCCTTTCCATCACCAGGCAGATCTGGTGCCCCCGAAAGAGAAATAAGTGTAGGTGAGTTTCCTCTCCTATTTGAGAAGGAACAGAGTTACTGGATTTAGTTTATAAACATGTGACCAGAAAAAATGCCACATGTTAGAAAAGATATTTGTTTACCCTGGCTGGTGTAGCTCAGTGGATTGAGCACGGGCCTGTGAAGCAAAGGATTCCCAGTCAGGACACATGCCTGGGTTGCAGTCCAGGTCCCCAGCTGTGGACATGTTGGGGGGCAACCACACACTGATATTTTTCTCCCTCTCTTTCTCCTTCCCTTTCCTTTTCTATAAATAAATAAATAAAATCTAAAAAAAGGTATTTGTTTAATACAAGTATTGATGAAATATTATGAATCATGAGGAAATATATTCATCATGAGGAAATAGTCAAATGGGAGATTACATATAAATATATTCTGGAGTATTCTATACTTAGAGAATGAATTTATAAATTTTTTAATATGTACATACAATATTACTTGTCTATTTTCACCTAATTTCAACTGTTCTTGGATTTTCTGTTAAAAGTGTCTTTAAAATGTTTTTCTTAAGATTTGCCTATTTTTATAAGTCTTGCTTTGTCACAAATTATGTTTTGTTGCTTTACAAATCCATTGAGATGTGTTCTTTTTGTTAATTTTACTCAATGCAATTTAAATATTTGCTGTTAGACAAACATCTAAAAAGGCTGATTAAAATTGTTCCAAAGACTTTTTGAATATAAAAGTTATTACAAAACAACTGTTCAGTAACTTAAGCATAAGTGGATTTGACATACAAATGTAATTTCCTTAAAACATGGAAAAAATACTTTCAACTTATTAGACGATATTTAACTTACTGAAAGCACATTGTCTTCTCTCAGACAGCGTGAGCCGCTCTTAAACAGATGGCATTCTCTCCAGTTATTTTTTAAGCCTTTCCTACAGAAGTTTCAAGTTTCTCTTCAGGCATTGCCCCAAAATCTCCACGCTGTGCCTGTGCCAGTACATGACTGTGCTTGGCGGGAGCCTGGAAAACAAGGAGCCCTGCCCTGCACCTCTGTGAAGAACCCAGCCCCTTTTAAGCCAGATCTTTGGAGAGGAGGCTTGCTTTCTGTTCATGTGTGATCCCTCGTTGCATAAAGCTCCCCCTTTTTCTCCTTTTCCTCCATCTTGTTTTCAGTAAACCTCTTTTTTTGACTTGGTTTCACCTCCCTTGATTTTTATCTTCAGGGTGGGGAGGCAAGAACACCTTCATCCTCAACTGTGACCACTCATATGAAGTTGAATACTTGAGAGGTTTCAATCTCTTGACTTTTCAGCTAAGATCAACTGTAAGGCCCATTCTTATCAGTTTAATATCTGATATGTTCTCTACCTGAGGACTATATATTACGTGGGTTTTGGGAGCAGGGATGTGGACTAGGAGTTTGCTTTATCCATTCCACACATCAACCTGGTATTGCAGGACTTCCTGGACAGTGCACCCCATAAGGGGGAAAGAAAAAAAAAGAATCTGACAGATTCCAAAGTTACTAAATTATGGATAAATATTAAAGACACTGTTATGTGGGGTTTGAGTTCTATTTTGTTTAAAAGAGATTTGCTTTAAAGAAAAGTTTAGAACCAGCTCTTGTCAGTGAACTGAGAATTTATTCACCTGTCATGGTGATGTCAGTTGGCTTTGTTTGAAGGGGACTGAGGATAGCAGTATGATGCAGGCAGAGTGAAAAAATATCTTGTTAAAACAACTTTTGCATTCACTGTCTTCAAAGTTTGTCTTAAAATACATTTTCAAAAATGAAGCACAACATCAAAAATATGTAACCCACTCCATTATTACTTCTAATGTTTTAAAATCTCAAGCAGAAATTATCTCAAAGTCCTTTATGGGGAAAAAAAAGTTCTCTGGCCATTTCTCAGGGTTGGTTCAAAAAACTCCAGATATTAAGAAAGATATAAAATCACTTAAACAAACTTGCACTATGATAAACAAAAGTCCATTAGCAAAAGAAAATAATGGATTGTAGTTTATAAATTTTAAAAGCACACACATTAAAAGAAGGATGAGTTGCTTAAAATGATGTTATATAATTGCAACTCATAAAAGGTACTTTTCCTCAGTTTATGAAATTAAATCTCTATACAACATCATTTATTTGGATGTTTGTGTTCTATTTCAAAAGGTAGAGTTTTTTAAAGAATTAAAGAGGGGATCTCACAACTTTAAGACAGATTGGCCTCAAATTGATTCTTGATGAAAAATAGCTACTGTGCTGAAATAGAAGTTTTGAAGAACATGTCAAAATAATTATGGCAGGAAACAAAAACTTCTGAGAGTAGTGAACACTGTAAATTTTTCAACATCCTGTTCTTAGTCAGAACTTAGTGAAATGCTATATTTTCATTTCAATCAGAACATCAGCAGTAGAGACATCAGTCTTCATGCTTTAGGATTTCTGTGTGTGGTGGTTCGTTCCCACCAGTAAAGGGGCTGGAAGGTTCTGTGTCAGACTCCTGAAAAGAATATTCAGTCAAATTTTACTCAACTGGAATTGTTGTCTTGGTTTATTTTAAAAGTTGTAAAATATTTCATTCATTCAAAGAATATGTGCAATTTTCATAGAGTATAAATCAAAGTAAAATTAATACCCATGAACCTCTAAGACTAAAGACTAAACTATAGACTAAAATATTACCTATTGCTTTGGCACCATCTGTATAGCGGTTCCTTTGAACGCATTCCCTACATTTCTTTCTTTGACAACAGAAGTTAACAGAATCTTGTTTTGTGTTAGTTACTCCTGTATTTGAGGATTAGACTTAATACTTATGCATATATTCACAAGTAAAACATCATTTGATTGTTTTTGTTTTTGAGTTTTGTAAAAATAGTGTTATTTCTATAGCTTGATTTTTTAATAAAATTTTTATTTCTAGGATTTTGTTAATAGATTTCATATAGTTACCAGTAACTTGTGTTTGTCACTATAGAGTACTCTACTCTGATATTTCACAATTTGCATATTTTTTATACTAGTCATGGTTCTTTCACGGGAAAAAAATATCTCTTAATAAATAAGTATAATGTATCAGGACCATGTAAAAGAAAAACAGAAGCCAACCAAAAAAAACACAAAAAGTATGAAATTGCTAAAACATAGGTGTAATGCATCTTCAGATTTACAGACAGTGCCCAAATGTCTGTATCTGTTTACTGTCTCCAGGAAGGGTTTATGAATCTCCATGGCTCCACTTTCCAGCCAAAGTTTGGTTTCTGTCTTCTTCATTTCGGCCATCATAATGTCTGTAAAATGATATCTCAGTGTGGTCTTAATTTGATCTTTGTTTAAATTCTAATGAGATTGAAACTCTCATATTTTTTCTTTTGTCATTCTTTCTTCAGTAACGTATGTATGATTTCACTACTTTATATTCTGTCTTTTTCTTATAGCTGTCCAGTTATTTTTGCAAAGTAATGCTATATTAGTAACATGTAATAGAAATAGTCTACAAATATATGTCTCATATTTTCACCTACTGTGTGGTGTACTTTAATGAACAAACATTCTCCATTTTAATTGAACTTTTATTGTACAGTTAGAATATTTTTATGTCTTGTTTTAGAACTCCTTGACATTATTTCCCTGTATTTTGATCTTAGAAACTGAAATTTTGCCTTTCACACCTAAATTTATAATTCATCTATATATTTTTTGTTATGGTTTAGGAAATAATTTTATTTTTCTTATGATGGATAGCCAGTTATATTATGTGTTTGCTAGTTCTGTCTCAGCACGTTCACAGTTTCCTATTATTGCTGTAACAGTTACCACAAACTTAGTGGCTCAAAACACAGCAAATGTATTATTTTACAGTTACAGAGGCCAGAAGTCTGAAATGGTTATTATGGGCCACAATTAAGGTTGGTAAGGCCACATTCATTCTGGAGGCTCCAGGGGAGAATCTGTTCCTTGGCTTTTTCAGCTACTAGAAGCTGCCCTTATTCCAAACTCACAATCGTATCACCGCAACCCGGGACTCTCCTGCCTCCTTCCTTCCCTTCTGTGGAAATTGGGCACACCTGGTTAATCTGGGGTGGCCGCTTCATGGCCAGGTTCCTAATTTAATCACTTTTGCAGAGTCCCTTTTACAGGGTGACATATTTCCAGATCCTGGGGATTAGGGCATGTATGTCATTGGGGTGGGGGCATTCTTCTGCTCCTGTGATGGGTGATGTCACAGGTATCATATATCGTTGAACATCAGCAGGACTCTGTTTCTGCACTCGGGTCTGGATTGCGTCGTTCTGTTTCCTATCTGTGCCCTAGGACCACACTTACCACACCATCATGAGTGATACAGTTTCATAATGAATCTTTGTATGTGACAGCAATAGCCCTCAATTTATTCTGCTTCTGAATGTTTTAGCTATTGTTAAACTTCACCTTTTCATATATGTTTTAGAACCAGTTGGTAAATTGATTCAAATCCTATTGCAATTGTAATTAGAATTTCATTAAATCTATAGCTGTCATTGAGAATATTAGAAATCTTTATAACAGTGAGAATTCCAATTCATGAACATGACCTCTCAATTCATTTGATGGCTTTATTAATATATTTTATATATTCTCTGTAAAGGGCTTGAACATACATAGTTAAATTTATTTTTGTGAAGTCTATTTTTATTTTTACTGATGTCCTAAGTGATATCTCTTAAACATTTTTCCTAATGACATGCTGTGGGTATACAAAAATACACTTGATTCCTTATATGGATTATGTTTAAAATACCTTGATATTTTACTAATTCTAGCAAGTTTTCTGAAACTACTTAAAGCTTTTTACATACGTATTTAGGTGAACTATAAATGTATTTGTTTTTTTGCTCCCTGACATTTATAACACTTATCTTACTCAGTGGTTTGAATTATCTGTGTTGAAGAGAAAATCAAGAATATGGATCTTTACTTTGTTTCTGTATTATTTTACTAATTAGTATACTATTCTTCGTGGTTTCCAGTAGAATCCTTCAATTGAATTAAAGGACTTTTAAAATATTTTTCAGATGATCTTAGCTTTTATAATGATTGAATTTGAATTTTATCAAACTATTTTTCTGCTCAAATACACTGTTAACCTTTTTTCATTAATTTATTAATAAGCAAATTATAATTCAGGTTTATAAGTCTTTAACTACCTGTGTACCTATGATAAAAACAAACATCATGTATGTTGCTTTGTATGTACAACAGGCCTTAGTTATGCTACTATTTTGTTGAACTGCTTTTGTTTCATGAGTGGATTTGGTTTGTAAATTCTCTTCTCTGATTTGGTTTTGGTAACAAGGCTATCCTGGCCTACCAAATTGAGTTAGGGGCAATTTCCACTTTTATCTCTAGAATAGTCTGCATAGATTGGAATGATATATTTCCTAAAGCTCTAGTGAGATTACTTTTTACAACTGTCCTTATAAAGTAAAAGGACATTTTATTATGATATACAAGGTATGTCCAAAATGTATCCAGCCATGTAATATGAAAACTAGGAAGAAGATATAAAAGCAAGAAACATTGTACATAAGACAATGACACCTCAGTCTTCTTCAAAGTAGGCACCTTGTGACCTCACACAGTTCTCCCAGTCACCATCAGCTGCACAGTAGTATTTTCCTAAGTAAATACATCAATAGTCTAAAATCTATTCCCCTTCAAAGGTGATGCTAGTTAGGGGAAAAGCCAGAAGTTCCAGGGTGCCAAATCTAGGCTGTAGTGGGGCTGAGTCACCTGGATGATTTGATGTTTCACCAAAAAACTCTGCATGACACATGATGCATGGATAGACATGTTGTCATGATGAAGCTGCTAATCACCAGTTGCCCATAGCTACAGCCTTTGGAATCATCCACATAGTTTCCACAGAGGAATGTTCAAGCTTAATGCAAAACTTAATGCAGATTCATTGCTCTACTCATTCAGTCATTTTCAATTTGATGGCCACACACAGTACTTACTGAATGCTCACATGCTCACTGAATGGCATCTACCGTCCCCACTGACTAGAACAGTGAAATTGTCATTGTTGGCGCATGTGCATTGCAGTCCACTCTCCTTGGCTGCCGGGTTATATAAATGTTGGGCAAACCATTCTTATAATATTAACAATAGGTGGACTTTTTCTGGACAGACCTCACATTAAAAATATTTATGTGACTCTTCAACTTTCTATTTTATTTTTCTCCATTCTTATTTGACATATTATTTACATGCAGAGAAATGCACAGGTGTTCATTGTGGAGCTTGAGTTGTGATAAAGATATAATATACCTTCAACACAATGTAGAATAATTTCATCACTGCAAACATTTTCTTTCTGCCACTTTCCAGACAGTTCAACCTCAGCTTCTATTCTCAAAAGGCAGCCACTCTTACAAATTCTAACACTGTATATTTCTCTGCCTCTAGAATTTTATATTAATGGAATCTAACATGAGGTACTCTTTCATGCCTGACTCTTTCTCTGTTTGAATATAACATCTGTGAGATACATTGATGCTTTTGTGTTGATCAGTGACTAATTCCCTTCTCTTTATATATAATCTTGTTTATTCTCCTTAGATGGGAATTAGTTTATTAGTTGAAAAGTAATTGTGAATAAATGTCATAAACATTCTTGTGCATGTCATTTTGTGAACATATACTTTTCTTTTTCTTGGTTAAGTACTTATGTATAGCATTGCTGGGTCATAATGGAACTTTATGTTTAAATTAATGAATAACTGCTAATCTTCTTTCCAAAGCTGTCATATCATTTTAAACTGCCAACAGCGATTGCTCTAGCAGTTCCACATTCTTATCAACATTTAGCCTTTTTCTAGCTCTAGCAAATCTGATGTGCATGCATATGTTTAATTATCAACTTGATGGAGTCCTTTATAGGTTCTAGATATGGGTCATTTTTCAGAGGTTTATAAAGGGAGTATTTTCTTCCAGTCTGTGACTTGTCTATTTAACTTCTTATGGTGTTCAGAACAGCAAAATTTTAGTGAGTGCTCTTTGCTTCCCAGTTAAATAACCTTTCCCAGTTTGTTTGCAATGGTATTCTTCTATGCTTTCTTCCTAGATTTTTTTCTGTGCTTTTTTAATTGTATTTTTTCCATTACCATCTATTCCCCTTTTATGTCCTTCTCCCTGCAATCACCACACTGTTGTCCGTGTCCAGGGTCTTTTTTCCGTTTTGCTCAATCCCTCCATACCCTAACCCCACCCCCACCCCCAGATCTGTCCGCTTGCTCTCTGTCTATGGGTCTGTCTCTATTTCCCTTGTTAGTTCAGTCTGTTCATTAGATTCCACATATAAGTGAGATCGTATGGAATTTCTCTTTTTCTGACTGGTTTACAATTTTAGCTTTTATGTTTAGATCTATTATATAGACTGTGAAATCAAGTTTGCCTAAATGTGAAGTAAGGCATACATTAGTTTTTGTTTTTTTTGCATAGGAATATCCAGTTGTTCTAGGACCACTTGTTAAAAACACTTTACTTTTTAAATTTACTGCTTTGGTACTTTCACTGAAAATAACTGAGCATTTAAGTGTGGTCTTTATGAACTTTATAGTGTTCCATTTATCTATTTGTCTATAGGTACACAATTTATACTCTAGTACAATACTGAATAGATGTGGTGAAAGTGGAAATCCTTGTTTAAATCCTGAAATTAGGTGAAAAGCATTTATTTCTCACCATTAAGTGTGGTATGTTGCTTACTGTGGAACCATGGATTTTGTAAGAAATGGAAAAATTCTGATGTAGAAAAACTTAATTTTATTTATCTTAGTCCTTCATACCCCAACATATAATTGATGCATTCTAAGCCCAGTATATATTTTAATCAATTAGTGGCTATCTGAGTGATTTGGTTTGATAATGATTCTTTTAGTAGGTAACAACATACTCTGATCAGTGCTCTTAGTTCACCTGTTTTTAACCACGATTAAGAATGAATAAGAAAGCTGGGCAGCATTTTACACTTCATGTGTCCACAGTCTTTATTTGCTGATCCCAGGCACACACAGCTCTTCAACATAGAAAACGTAAGATTGAAGAGAATTTGAACCTGTTTTTCCCCCAATCATGAAATCTGCAAGAGAATATTACAGACACAGACATTGGTTAACAAACATGAATATTAAATCTTATTTAAAAATCAGGTTTAAATATTAATTTTTGCGGTTTTGAAAGTGCATAGATACGTTAAAATCATCTATGTCGAATTTGGCTAGAGAAAAATGCCTATAGAAACTTTATGAAGTATAGTGCTTCTCCCTACTTTCTTCAAAAGGTGATTCATTTATTTGTTCTATAAAGGGTACATTTAACATATTATGAGTCTTGCCATCCTCTTTGGAAGGGACAGGCCTTTTCAGAAGATCCCAGATTAGTTTCTGAAGTAGTTTCTCATGTGCATGGTGTGTGGTGTGTTCACGCATATGACATAACTCTCTTCTCAGTGGTAAAGTTGGAAAAACCCATAACCCATCAGTTATTCTTGGTGCACATGGTCATTCTCCTCTGCCTTAAAATCAACATTGTATTGATTTTGTTTCCTAGTTCAACTTTGTGGGGAAATTGCTTGGACCAAGAGGAAACTCCTTGAAGAGGCTACAGGAAGAAACGGGTGCCAAAATGTCTATCCTGGGCAAAGGATCGATGAGAGACAAAACGAAGGTACCGACCTTTGAATCTGATACTTAACACATGTAGGAGGGTACCTCTACCCACGGATGGGCCCATTTACAAGCACATCTCAACTCTTCTCCCTTCATTGTCTCTGAGTTTTACCTGGTGGGACCATCTGTTGCACTTTCCAGTGACTCCTCTATTTTCATAAAAATTAATAATTGGCCTTTTCCCCCAAACGTGTAGTTCTATATTTTTAATCTTTTTTTTTAAAGATTTTATTTATTTATCTTTAGAGGGGAAGGGAAGGAGAGAGGGAGAGAAGCACCAATGTATGGTTGCCTCTTGTGTGTCCCCTGCTGGGAACTGCTCTTCAGGGAACCAGCCTGCAACCCAGGCATGTGCCCTGACTGGGAATCGAACCGCGATTGTCTGGTTCAAAGGCCTGTGCTCAATTCACTGAGCTACATCAGCCAGGGCTGTATTTTTAATCTTTTTAATCCTTGTTGTAGGCTGTGATCAAATGTGTTCACCCGAGTGCCTTCTATAGGATGTTACTGTATATATATCCATGTTCACCTTCTTTAATTTCCTGATGGGTCCCTGTCCTTTCTTCTACTGCATCACCTCATCACATCCATTTTATCTCCCAGCTCTATTTCACTTTGATCTTCCTACCTGAAGCAATCCGAAACACTAATCTGCAAATCTAAGAGAGTGCCACTTTTTGTTGCAGTGTTTCAGCGATATTAAACAACTCACCTGACCCCAAAAGAACAATAGGCTAAGAAATATATCAACATTGATGTTTGAAATGATTTATCGCGCATCTGAACTATATATATCATCTTTCCATTTTATAAAATGATAGCAATTCTCTCTGTGTCAGAATTCAATACTTTGGAAAATAAGTATTTCTAGGGATTTATTCTTAAAGGAGCTTTTAAAATTCATTGAGAAAGGGTAAATGTGTTATGGCAGTATTATTTGACTAGGCCATACTCTTCTGATTTGCTATGTTACCACAGAAAATAAAACGTTAAAATATCTGGCCTGACCTGTGTGGCTCGGTCGGTTGGGCATGGTTCTGCAAAGTGAGAGGCAGCCATCATTCCCAGTCAGGGCACGGGCCTGGGCTGCTCCTGGGCCCAGTCGGAGAGTCAGCCAGTTGATGTTTTTCATGTTGATGTTTCGATGTTTCTCTCCCTCTCTCCTCCCTCCCCTTCTCTCTAAAAGTCAATAAATAAAGTATTTTTTCAAAAGTTCAAACATCTTTTTTATGACTATGAAAATTACTTGGACAACAATTAGGAATTCTGTCTTTGGGCTATGAATGGAACATCTTAAATGAAGAAATGTATAGTGAGAAGTATCACAGAACTGGTGCATGTTGCATACATAAAATATCTTACCTTAACTGTAATAAGTCTGTATGTGGAGGTTAGGGAAGACTCTGTATATGACTGCTGTTTTTAGACTGGATTGATACTCAATTCTAAACTGCAAAAGGAATGCTTCTTATTCATCTTTTGAGTAACTTTTAGTTACTCTATACTGTGTATAATTTCAAAAGTAACTACATTCTTTTTAGATTTTCTATATATGCAAACATATTAAAACTGTAATCTATATCTGCAGTTATATATTCTTTAATGTTCTTTTTGCTGTATATGTTCTTCAGTTATCTCACTGTCTTACAATATAAACTTCATGTTGTATGCTTTTAATCTCTTACATATTCTTTAAGATTTAGATCAGACATCATCTCCCCAGAAGGACTTCTCTGAACAACTATAATAGGCTTATTACTCTCTTTTTCGAGTCACATATTTTACTGAAATTTTCTGTTTATTTCACTAAACTGTAAGTTTCCACAAGCCAGAGAAATGTTCTCTTCAGTTTTGCCTGTGCAAAGTCTTCATGTAGTTTCTCCCTATCTTTCAAAGCAGATGGGTGTGCATTATTTACGCCCATATATTTGGACATTTTTCCTGTTTATAAAGTTTTAAATGGGATTATTTTTTCCCTCTGAGCATGTTAGGTACTAACATGAGTATTTTAAAATTTAACAAGAAACAAATTTGCTTCCATTAAGTTTCTATTAGATTTAATTTACTGATATTACTTCTTACTTAAAATCCTGTTTCTCATTGATTATTTTTTGATTCATCACATTTGGCTATGCTTCGAGTATTTTGATTGTTCTTTTATAAAAAAACATTTACTACTAATAATAGCAATAATTATAATGTATTAACTATAAAACACATGTTTTAGAATCTAGTAAGACCTTAACTACAAAGTCTGTTGAACACACAGCAGATATAAAAGTATAAGAATGGATATGAAAAGGTTTACCTTAGTAAATGCTTGATTACAATAAAAATTAATTCTTGGTAAATTATAGAGTAGCATGCTGCTATTTGTTTTACTGCAGTGTGACCTAAACATTCAGGAAGACTTTATATGATTTTATTTTTTCTAGCACAATTCTTCAGATTTTGCAGTGGAGGTGTGTAAGTGTATGTGTATATATACAGCCACACAGGTATATATTTATGCATTCACTGAAGAAGTACTTACTAGACATACTAGGTGTCATTCACAGTTCTAGTGACTGGGATAAATATGACAAACATGGTTTTCCTCTTGGAGAAACAGACACTAAGTGAACAAACACTTTCAGGAACTGGTCATTGTTATGGATTAAAAAAAAACAGAAGAAGGAAAGAGATAAATGGTGGTGGGAACAATATTTTATTCCAATGATCAAATTTGAATCTGGATAATAAAAGGAACCAGCCATAGAAAGATTCAGAAATGAGAGAGAGAGAATCTCAAGTGTGATGACTCTAAGGCAGATCTGTGTTCTCATCTGTAACCATATCTACGAGTGTACAACTATTATGAGAGCTGTAGCCACATCTTTGTTTACAATGACCCTTATTCCCATTTAGCTACAACCTGATTTCTTTGCTCACCTTCATAGCAAAACTCACTCAAAATGTTATTTGCAACCAGTTGCTGTCAACCATTCTTTAGTGTTTTTCTCCTTAGTCCTTACGACTGGCTCCTCTTCCTCTACTAGACCAGCAAGCCCAGGGCTTCATACCATTATATTTATGTATGTGTGTATTTATATGCATATGTATGTGTATGAATGAAATGCATATGTATTAGATATTTAATTACATATATGGTATTCATATATTTATCTATATATAAAGCAAATATAAACACACACAGAGAGTGAGAACAAACCAAAATATTAAAAGAGATGTATAGAAAGAATGAGAGAAATATCTTTGCCAACTTTTAGGGCCTCGATGAACACAATATGAGCCGTGTAGTCTTAAGATTCAGAGATAGCTTTTCTTGTTTGTTTTGTGTTTGTTCAAAAGCAAATCTCATTGGAAGAGAAAATGAGAAACAGCTTGTATGAAATTGAATGGTGCTTGGTAGCTCAAGCCCTAGTAAAGTCGGCATTTGTTTGAAGTTTATATCAACAGGCATTAAGGAGCTCAGCACACAACTGCAAGTCTGTTTTTCACCTTCTCTCCAATGAGTACATACATATACACCTAAATGAATGACTTACTGAAGCATGCGAGGCACTCCTTTCGCCCCTGTAGGCAGAGCCTGGTGCCTTCGCAGAAAAACTGGTTTGATAGCCTTCTTTGCAATTACTGGCCTATGTCACCTTTCTAGGAGGTGCAGATTGTTTTTCTGGGCTGAGTATGCTGTTGGGATGCTCCACAATATATGTCATAAACTTGATCTTTACCATATGATGGAAGGAGATATTTGGATAGTTGTCTAAATCAGGACTAAATAACTGTGAAAAATATCTCTTGCATATTAGGGGCACACCCCCAAACCAGGATTTATGTATAAAAAATCATGTATTTATGTTTACATATTTAAACTTTAGTCAACTTCAGAGTACTCTCCATTTGATACAGTATGCCTATTGAGACATTTTTTCCACCGCTCAAAACAGTTTTTGCACTCATTGATTTTGATGCCTTTTAGTGCATCTGCTATCCTTTGTTTCACCTCTTCTACATTGGCAAAGCATTCCCTTTTGAGGACTTTTGTCATCCAGGGAAACAAAAGAAGTCACCTTGGGTGACATCCGGTGAATAGGGAGAGTGGGGTATGGGATAATGCTGTTTTTGCTCAAAATTTGCTGAACACTCAGTACAGTGTAGATAGGCACAGTCGTAAGTCACCCATCCTGAAATGAGCAAATGAATTGAAAAGAGTCTTCAAAAAAAAAAATTCACTGGGGCCAAACATAGCCTCTCACAACCTCTGCTGGTACCTGGATGCAGATGGGTTCCTAGAACACTCACCTGGTGAGGGAAGCCTGTACTACAAGGAGCCTGCCCTCCAGAAGACAATTCCTTTTTTTGGCCCCTGTCATATTAGCTATGTGTACAACTGTAGATTAAATATTATGCTGTATAAAAAATAAAAATTAGACATGACTCAAGCCCTCACAAAATTCACACATCCTTATCTAACACTTGGTTTAAAAAAAGATTAAAAAGTATCAATTACTTGAATTAGTAGGTAAAAGTATGATGAACTCATTTTGTTGTCCTTTCATAGGTCTAACAAGACCTTTTAATCCTTAGAAAATAGGAAGTTTAAGATTTATTTTAAGATTATTATGAAATTAACAGCATAATATAGAAAATAGTTCTAATCCTCTAGTGTAGTAAGATTATAACAAGTTTAATGTTTTTATTTGTTTCTTTGTTGTTTTTATGGTGGTAAGTAAATATTCCTTTACATTTTGTTATATCTGGCCAATAACCCACATGCAATGAAAGAAAAAAACAAAAACAAACTAAAATGTAGTCATATCTAAGATAATACCAGGACCAAAATCATACCTTATATTCATGATTTCATCCCCATATTAGTCAGATGGCAGAATATGTGAACTCATATTCAACTGAAAACCATTTACCTTGAACAGACGCTAACTTTTTAATTGTGTTGATAAAAAAATATTCTTAGGAAATCTTGAAAGTAAAATA